CAAAGACAGGCCCGCCGACCGCTCAGAAGTCCAGCGCATTGGCCGCACCGTTGTCCTGCCCGCCAGCCGCGGCTATCCCCAGCCCACTGGCCGCGCCGAAGACAAAGTCCGCCTGCCGTGCCCGAGTCAAGTTTTCCGGCCGCACCAAAGTGTGCTGGCCGCGCCGTTGTCAAGTCCACCGGCCGTGGCTCTCTCCAGCCCGCCGGCCGCGCCAAATCAAGTTTGCCGGCCGTCCCTATGGCAAGCCCATTGCACGTTCATGTGGCAAGCCCGCCGGACTTTCAGCACTCAAGTTCGCCGACCATGCCTTTTCCCCCCATTCCAGAATAGGAAACTAGGGAGGAGGAGAAGGGTGTCGGCTCCAGCCCCAGAGCGCGCTCCAGGATCGTCGGCTCCAGCCCCAGAGCGCGCTCCAGGATCGTCGGCTCCAGCCCCAGAGCGCGCTCCAGGATCGTCGGCTCCAGCCCCAGAGCGCGCTCCAGGATCGTCGGCTCCAGCCCCAGAGCGCGCTCCAGGATCGTCGGCTCCAGCCCCAGAGCGCGCTCCAGGATCGTCGGCTCCAGCCCCAGAGCGCGCTCCAGGATCGTCGGCTCCAGCCCCAGAGCGCGCTCCAGGATCGTCGGCTCCAGCCCCAGAGCGCGCTCCAGGATCGTCGGCTCCAGCCCCAGAGCGCGCTCCAGGATCGTCGGCTCCAGCCCCAGAGCGCGCTCCAGGATCGTCGGCTCCAGCCCCAGAGCGCGCTCCAGGATCGTCGGCTCCAGCCCCAGAGCTCGCTCCAGTGTTGGCTCCACACGCCTTTTCCCCCTGATCCAGAAGAGGAAACTAGGGAAGAGGAGAAGGGTGTCGGCTCCAGCCCCAGAGTTCGCTCCAGTGTTGGCTCCACACGCCTTTTCCCCCCGATCCAGAAGAGGAAACTAGGGAAGAGGAGAAGGGTGTCGGCTCCAGCCCCAGAGCTCGCTCCAGGATCGTCGCCAGCCCCAGAGCTCGCTCCAGTGTAGGCTCCAGCCCCAGAGCTCACTCCAGTCATTGCTCCTAATTCCCCGTCGAGCCCAGGGAGGGCTCTTGACCCCCAGTTCAGCCCAGGAAAGGCTCCTGATCCCCCATCGAGCCCAGGAAGGGCTCCTGATCCCCAGTTCAGCCCAGGGAGGACTCCACTCCCCTGTCATGGCCCACGGAGGACCTCGAAACCTGTAAGCGTCCCCAAAT